CATTCAATAAGAATGTAATTACTAGTATTTTCTGTCAATCTGCATTTGAATTACATATGATTTCTTTTTCCCCTCCATTGAAGTTATCACTGGCATATGCTTTTCAGCACAATTACACACAATCACAACTGAGCAGAAGAAACTTCATTGTGGACATACAAGTCACGACATAATTCACAGAGATCAAGACAAATTACAAATGATCCTAACATTAGAAATTGGGGGTAAACAAGTCGATATCTTACGAGTAATGGATATGTTTTAGTCACCAGATGAAACCCAAACACTGACTGTGGAGAAGAGACATCAACAGTCATGGTGACAATGCGGCGCCTTTTAGCCTCTCACCTGCACTCCTGAGTGACCGTTTCCATCGTGAGCCTCCGCAAGTGAAGATGACTGCCCGGATGAACTCACGACCACACAGCTTCACCCCATATGACGGGTCATCCATGGACTGAACCCCAGCCACCAGCAGACACACAGCCAGAGCAACAGCTTTCCACATAGCACCCCAAGCAAATAAATCAAAATACAAATGGCTGAAATGGCAGGAGATTTTTTGCTTTGAGCAGCACTTAGCTTTCTGTCTCCCTGTTTGCAAGAGCTGTGACTTTCTAGTTGACCCAGGCGTGGTTTATAAAGGGGTTTGGAGCCCTGCAAGGGAGACAGGCATATTGCGCATGCAGGCCCTACCCCAAGAGAAGAACAGATTTGAAAGAGAGATACAGCCAGAGACCTTTATGGAGACAAAAAGCGGGCCAAAGGTGGCATAATTAACGAATATGTCAGAGGCCTCAGTGATCTAATTGTATTTCAGCATGAGAAGCACTTTTGTCCCCTTCAATGTCCCTCAATATTATGATCAGATCCTACTTACATTTAATATGTAAAACATTTGATGATCATGTGGTGACTGTGAATACGAGGAGCATATTAATAATGTCAAACAAAGTATGAGACTATGTGGCATAATGATGTTTTTTTTCTGCATACTAGCCAATTACAACTCTGTCTCTGTTTATAGGAGTCACAAGGCAATTTCCTTTGCTTTTATTGTGGCATATCATGTTGTTTTGTCCCCTACTGACACCAAAGTTTGGTAGGACGCATGGATATTCTACGAGATAAATCAATTTGTTAAACAATTCAAGGCAAGGGAAATAAAATTTATTCTAATTGCAAAATGAATATTCAATTTGGCAGCTGACATCAATGAGCAAATACTTAACACATAGAGCAACATAAGTCCAAAAAGAAGAGGTGCATTGCAATTATAATTCCTACCAAAAATAAAAGTATAAACGCATGGTGAATTGTCTGAACACATGAAATTAACCTTTTCACAAATTCCCCTGATAAGATTTTACACTTGCTAACCCCACTACAGGGATATATTTAGGCCATTGTAACCAATATCACAATTATTTACATCAGTGTTTGCCATTTGTAATCCACACAAGTATTATTTCCATATGTATCTTTTTTCCTTTCTCTTAAAAATCGCTTATTCCGTCATCTCTTTGCCAAAAGGTGACCTGGGAGGACAGAGACAGAACCAGTGACATTTACAAAGTCAGATAACATAGAAGTCTTATAATGAGTCAGACAAAAATAAAACACATTTTTATCTGTATCATAGTCAAAGGTCACTCATTTAGGATATTACAATGGGGATGATGAATTTGTAATTAATGTGTTGATAACAAGCAAACAAAATGGCATTTTAGGAGAGTGTCCACCCTGACATTCATTAACACAGTGTCACAGAAGTGACCTGTGGAGGTCACAGGAGCAATATGACAATGACAATGGACACTGTAGAACAATATTTATATATTATTTGGTCCTACATAGGCCTATTCTATAATTAGTCATTTTTAAATAATTACCAACTTACTTGTGTTTCAGTACACAGCAGGTGTAGTTTATATGTTCTGTAGTAATACGGCAGCATAACAATAAAACAATAAAAAGTGACTTAGGGTAATTAAAATTGCTAACTTGCTTTCCGGGGCTAGAGAACTGGGCTGTTTCCACATAAATATTGTGTTTGATCTTATATTTTAACACAACAGTGTTGACATGCAAGACTCAGAAAGGAGAGAAAACTAGCTTATTTGCAAGGCTGATACTGGACCTGGAGTACCTTGCTGAAGTAGTGAAGTGGGTGTGTGTCCGGTATATGTGCAAAATAAATTAAAGACTTAGTTGCACGCAAACTGTCACTAAAATCAAATCACTACTCATTATTTGTCAGATGAACTCAAACTGCTGCTCCTAACGATGAGGCCATTCACTGCAAGAGCTTAGTGTCAGTGTATCCAGATGCAGACAGGTCACCCAAAGACACATGGGTCGTAAAGACACTGTCTAATCACTAACTGCTGAATTTTGACAAGCACTAAGATGAATCTATTACTTTCACTGTCACAGCATCCGCCTCGGCTGTAAAAAAGAAAAAGAAAGATGTCTATGATAGACAGAGGTGTTCCACAAATGGGCGTGGAAGGCTTTGTAGTAAAAAAAATAAAAATAAATGCTGTTACTGTGTCTTTAAGACAATTTGGCGGCACTCAACCAATCACAGCGAGGAAGGGGGAGGGAAGGGAGCGGGTGGGTAGCAACAGTTGCCCTGGTGAGGACGAAGCGCCATAGCCACGGTAGCCCTGGCGACAAGAGCCCAGCAACGAGAATCAACAACAACAACAACTGAATCCGCCATAAAAATAAAAGAAGATATTTTACCGGTGGGAAATACACACGTGGAACCAGAGGTGAAGCGCTTTACATATAGGAAATATTTTATGTCCAATTATGCTTCAACTGAATTGTGCTATTGCTCTTTTCCCTTGTTGTTTCAGTAGCCGTGCCAGGCAACTGCCTTCCACTGTTAGCTCAGCTTAGCCTGAAACCGAGCCGCCGTACTGTTAATCAGTCGAGTCCGCTGTTCGTGAATTGGGTAGTCTGTGGCCGCCACTCATTGCAGTGACAGTGAATTGTGCTTGCCATGACGACGCAGCCACACAGATGCATACCCAAGCAGGCCGTTGTTATGGCGATGTCAAATGCAAAAGGTACAAAATGGCGGTTGTTGTAGAGACCAGTGAGCTCGCTGCCCGTGTTGCTCCACAGCTAGCCTCAGCGCTGTCACGACAGGCGTGTGCTCGCTGCTGCTCACAGATAACGGGGACGAGTTACCGGGAGCGGTCACCTTTTCGTCTCTTTGCACGGTGTTTTACGTGCGTGCCGTCGCGGTTTAACGCGGTGTGTGTTTTTCCAGCTGCTCCCGGCTCAACAGAAAAACCAACTCGCCGGGTAGAGGGGAGAGCACATTAGGATAACTGCTGGTCAGATTAAAAGTGTAACTGCTCAGACAGCTTTTGGAGTCGGGGGCAATTACAGGTGGCTGGAATATTGTTGTGTCGGTAATGTAAAGTTGAAGAAGTGGGGCAGGTGGCGGACATTTAATATCCAATGGGCGTGGTGAAGGAGGGCGATTTGCAGGTGTTTGCAGGTCCCAGTTCAGTCCAACGTGTTTGTTCACCGATGTTGCTCTATAAGATCACATATTCCTTTATTTGTCCCACGTAGGGGGAAATTCCGATGTTGCAGCAGTGGATAGAGAAAAAAAAAAAAACAGTGTGCAAACAGTAAGAGTGGGAAAGACTAGACTTTATAGATTTGTAATAAGGTTTCTTATTGACATTAACATTAAAAAGCATGTGGGTTTAAAAAAACACACATGTTAGTCATAATAAAACCCTTCCTATCCTCTCTTTTTATTCAGTAAAGGCAAGAAGTGTTAATCTAGGATATTGTATTAAACATGTCACAAATTAGGAACAGGGTTTACATATAATCTGGTAATTTTGTGTGACCTAAACAACAACAACCTACATTTGCAGTATTAATGCAGTGTGGTAGGGGAGTTTCCCAACTTGCGCTCTGGGCATATAACTGTGTATGTGAATGGCCATAGGATGTGTGATGATCACATTACAGGTAATGAGACACCGAGGTGCTTGTTCCCGTCAATCCTCCTCCCCCACATCTTCACATTAGCTGCACCACCAACAGGTCAGCCACAGTAGTACTTTCAGAAACAGCCCTCTTACTCATTCATTTGCATCAAGGCAACAAATGAGAATGTAAAATATTTCTAGTGTCAGTAGGATAAGAAACTGCTAACCACAGAATAATGTTAAAAGTGATAATAATGAAAAAGTATCGATCACATCAGCATCGATGTATTTTCCAATTGCACTTTTAAAAGATCGTGCAGCACACAACACTTTCCTCATGTCCAAATTGCGGCCCATGTCACTTTTATAAGCTGGACATTAATAAATGACTTTGTAATAATAGTCACATGTTTTAAAGTAATATTTTACTAGAAGCTGTAATTCATTACATTTTGTTCTGCTACATCCTCTAAACTAAACTCTTACCTATAAACCTCTGACTAAATCCCCTGCCCTTTCTCTATCTCATTAATTATACAGTGGCTTGAAACACATAATGACATTAGGCTATTAAAGGGACACTTCACCCATCTCTCGCATTAAGCTCTTGGTGAGTCGTTAGAAACCCAGTTCATGATTTTTGATGGCTCGTGCACCGTTTCCTCATTTTTCCCCGAGACCGGGAGAAATATACGGATTCTCAGCTGTCTGCACTTCCTGCTGTCCAATGATTAAAAATCGTCCATTTTTGCATCAACTGGAAGCATGGAAGTCTCATATCTCGTAAGAGGAGTGAGACTACAAACATGCTCTTTTCTCGGTCAAATAGGCACCAAATTCAAAATTTATGTTACATTTCGACTACATATATAACCCACTTTCAATAAAGATGAATGTTTCCACGGGTGAAATGCTTCTTTAACCAAATAAAACCTGGACACAAACAAACCAGGATGAATTCTGGCTTGACCAGTTCAAAACATCCCTAACATTTACCAGAAATGCATAACCAGTCACTTGTTTCTTCTTCCCAGGGTGATTCCCAGCTCCTGTCATGGCCACCTCAGGCTACGTAGGTGAGATCCAGCCGGCAGCCCAACCCCAGGGGGCCGGTGTTACCGTCACGCCGGGGCAACCTGACGCCAGCTCCACCCCTCCAACTGCCCCTCCCCCCTTTCTGGCCGAGATTCAGACCACTGTGGTGACTCCCACTGTCGTCACACCCACAGGCCAAACTTCTCCCACTGATCAAGCCACCTCTATCACTAATCAGAAGCCTGCAGCTGGAAGTCAAGCTCAGTCCACAGCACAGGCTCAGCCCGCTCAGACTCAGTATGTGACCGCAGAGATCCAGGGCTCCCCCACACAGTCTGGAAATTCTCAAAGCACTCCTCAGTACATCGTTGTTACAGTCACAGGTAAGGGCTGAACTTCACGTACCATAATATACCTTTGGCAGTAACACAGACCTAACCTGATTAGGGCTTTGCAGTTACACAGAGGAAGTGCTTTACATTTTAGCCGTTACTCCTCGTAAAAGGCTTTTTAAAAAAGCTTTCATTTTCATTTATTTTGAAAGGTCTGATCAAATTAAATTTTTTAAAACGTTTTAAGGACAGTCGGTTAAGATACTTGAAAGTTTCCTGGATTGTAATTTTGTAGAACTAAAACACTTTCACATGTTTAAAGTGAAACTAGGCTAAAGTTGCTTTGCTACAACCTTCCTGATTGAGTTTGAGACTTTGCCTGAATGCTGAAATAATGTCACCAACAATGTGTTTACATTCCCTTCATCCTTCAGAAGGCTCCCTTCACTCAAGTGACAGTGTGTCAGACTCTAGCCCACCTCCAGCTGTGGTGCAGACAGGAGTTCCCACGCAGGTGGTTCAGCAGGTACAGACGGCTCAACAGGTAAAATATGCACGCACACACAAGCCAACATGAAATTAATGTTTCTTTAACTCTCAAAACTAAATAGTATATTTATCTCGGCAGAGGTCTGTGGTGCAGACCACCTCTCAGATAACAAAGACTGAGCCTGGCACCCAGCTCAGTGTCACCAGTCTGCAACCTGTTCATATCAGCCCGGAGGTAAGTCAAACACCCACAGTTTATCTTCTGTGGTTAAACCAACACCAGCACACATTTGTGGAAAGAAAAACAAGTCATCACACATGAAATCAAAAACTCCCTCACATTTTAGCTTAGTATTAGTCAACTGATCACATCTTTGGTTGAACCTGCCTCTGCTGGTTTCCAGATCCTACCTAGCACCAAGGTGGCAGCATTAGTCAGGGATAACAGTCTAGAGGAATGCCAGCTTCATCGTGAGATAGGACAGCCAGAGTGCCTGGCCTTTGCATCAGCACACTGCGTACAAGAGTGCTGTGGCAAGCCCTTCTACCTCCCCCTGGATCTCCTTCAGTATTACCAATCACTGTGCTTGCTCTCTGTGTGTGCGGAGAAAGAGATAGGAGCCCACCCTGCAGTCACAAGCTCAGGCCCTGATCAGCCTCCACTGCAGGCTACAACTGCCAATTTCCAAGTAGGTCAGGGACACAAGGGAGACTGCTGCTATAGAGTAAAGGGACCAGAGAATATGTACATAAAAGAGGTTCAAAGTCCACAGTTGATATAGTCTAACTATGCAGGTGAGGATTTACTGGATTTGTGTGTGTGTGTGTGTGTGTACGTGTCTACTCCTCAGGTGCAGCAGCAGCTCACGCCCGTGCCAGTGCAACATGTGTACACCAATCAAGTGCAGTATGTGGAAGGAGCGGACACCAACTATACCACCAGCACGATGTTAGAATAAAACAGTGTCTACTATTATCTTAACACATGTCCAAACAAAACTATTTCCTTTTTAATTCCCCCAGCAGTTTAATTTGTTTCTCACGTATCTTTTTTAATCTGTTTTATCCAGTCGTTCCAGCACCTTCCCGTACACTGACACACCCCTGTACACCCAGACCACCGGCGCCCAGTATTATGAAAGTCAGCCAACATCAGGCTCACAGGCCTCTACCCCCGGCACACCTCTAACCGTCTCAGTGACTGCTGGCACGACAGGGGGCGTGTCCATGTTTGTGGCCCAACCCACCAGCGCGGCGGGGGGAGGGGCCACAGTGGTGACTACTGGTGGCACCACCAACGGGGCAGGGGAAGGGGCAGGCACCAATGGTGGCGCAGCAGGCAGCTATGTAATCCAGGGGGGTTACATGCTGGGCAGCAGCAGCGGGGGGGCAGCTGGCAACAGTCAGAACTACTCTCACACCGCCCGCGCCTCTCCAGCCACTGTGAGTATTACAGAGGGCGAGGAGAGTAGCGTGCCGTCGGCAGACAAGAAGGTATGCAGAGGCGCCAAGCGCAGGAATTTCTTTTTCGTTTTTTGTTTCTCATTCACACAACTCTTTGGTGGCGCACAGTGATGATGTCATAGTTTCGTATAAGTGGAAAGCACAATTAAAAATGTGGAGATTTGGGGCGCCCCGATAGCTCACCTGGTAGAGCTGGCGCCCCGCGTACCAAGGCTGAGTCCTTGGTGCAGCGGCGTCGGGTTCGAATCCGACCTGTTGGCACTTTGCTGCGTGTTATTCCCCCCCCCCCTCTCTCTGCCCCCTTTCCTGTCTGTCTTTAGCTGTAATATCTAATAATGAAGGGAAACAGAAAAAGATTGGGATTAGGACCAGAGTATGTTAATACTTTGAGTATAAAACTTGTAGCATAGAATATTTTTAACTGTGATTTCCTCCTCAAAACCCCCCGAAAACCATGACCTCATCATTTTCATATCATTACAGTGCATGTGACGAGGGGCATTTTCAATTTGCCTGAAATGCTCCAACCCTATATTGTTCATGCCAAATTCATCATATTGAACCCCACATGATAACGGTTTACCAACCTATGTTTGGCAAACATCCCATATTCCAGGTCATTAACTCATTGCATACCAAAGTTGTATGCCACGGCACGCAAACAGATGTACTTGTGTTTTCATTCCCAAATGATCGACAGACTGTAAATGTGAATGGATTCGTTTGTGTTTGTATAATTTATTCTGTATAAAAACGTGCGTGCATGTACTGTATATTAAAAACGTGGGAAATGTGTTGTGTGTGTACAGATACGTTGAGGTGTGTTTTTCTGTTTGTATCTACTGGCTTTGCTAACTGTTCCAGCTGTGTGCCTGTGTGTCAGGTACAGTGGTTGCTGGACAACTATGAGACAGCTGAAGGAGTGAGTCTTCCCCGTTCCACCCTCTACTGCCACTACCTGCTGCACTGCCAGGAGCAGAAACTAGAACCTGTCAATGCTGCCTCTTTTGGGAAACTCATTAGATCGGTGTTCATGGGGCTACGCACGCGACGCCTGGGCACGCGGTAAGACGAGTGTTCACACATTCAAACCCAGTTTAAGAGGAAATAAGAGACCATATATACATATATGGGTGCAGATACACAACACTTAATGTATTTATACCCCTTTAATACACAGCTTCCCTGTGTGACACGACAGGGTTGTAAAAATCGACGCCCTTACTAATGTGCTGATTTTTAAGTATATTTTTCAATCTATCGTGTTTCTGCTGACAGAAAAAAAATGTTAGGAAATGTCAACCTGACATCACGGAGAGTGAGAAGAGTGCACTTTTTCTCACTCTCTGTGCTCTCCCTGCTACAGTGATGCACGTCAGCAGCACAGACATCCTCTTCATACGCACTGTATGAGCTACATGTATATAGGTTTTGATTAATGGACACCCGTGCAAAGCTTTCTACAGGAGATCTATAATTTATGAAGCTCTTTGGAGCGCTGCTAAATGTTCGTCCAGTGTAGGAAGACGTGTGGGTAGAGATGAAGACAGACAGCATGTGTGTGGGTGAGTGAGTTTGACAAAGGAGGGGAGGGTGAGCAAGTAAGATGGACTTTTCATAAATATTTGGTAATATGGGTTAATGCGGTATATTTGGATATTATATTTTATTAAATTGTACAATAAAATATATATAAACCCTCTCCTCTCACGCCCTGTTGTTTTCTCCTCTGTAGCTTTACTAGAAAGATTTGCCAACACACGTCAAATTGTATGTAAAAACACATGATATCTGATCCTGACAGGGGTAATTCTAAATACCACTACTACGGGCTGAGGATCAAGGCAGGTTCCTCTCTTCTCCGTCTGATGGAAGACCAGCAACATCTGGCCATGAGGCAGCAGCCCTTCTCACAGAAACAGAGGTACACACATAAACGTCCGCACACTCACACACACGTCTATTGTCTATCATTACCCCACTGTGACCATTTCTATTGAATATCCATTTTAAAATGTTCCATTTGAATATATTTCCTTTAATAGCACTGACTCTTATTTTACCCCCGTCTCACACTATATAATTTATTTTAAATGCTCTTACAGTTCCACACTCCTGCTATATGATCAGACAGAAGTGCCTTTTCGTTTCACTTTATTATTCACCATCTCTGTGTAGAGCTGAGTGTTTTATCTGTGTTATCTTATATCCGTGTTCCTGGCAGGTTGAAGCCTGTGCATAAAGTGGAGGGGATGACGAATGGCACAGCAGCAGGAGCAGGCCAGCAGCAGCAGCAGCAGCAGGGGTCAGGGCAGGTGGACATCAGCACGCAGGTTCAGCAGTACCAGCAGTTCCTAGGTGAGTTCAGTGAACAAATACCTACAAGTGTGAAGTAATGGTTAATGATTTGCCTTAAAGAAGAGGTATGCTGGTCTTATTGTGAAAATGCAATATACATATAACACATAATACGATATTACTTACAGTTAATACTGACTGCCCCCTGCGTTCATTGTGATTTCTCTTTGACTATCTAGTGTTCTTGTGTCGTGTGTTGCAGATGCATCCAGAGCTCTCCCAGAGTTCCCGGACATCGACCTCCAGGGGAAGTCTCTGCCAGAGGGCATCGAGCTGGAGCACATAAAGAGCTTTCAGCTGCTGTACAGAGAACACTGTGAGGTAACCGTTAACCATCTATTCTCTCTAAATGTCAGTGGGAGACTTTATTGAATGAAAGTACCAACTGTAACTTATAGGATAATAATAATTGTTAAAAGTTTACCAGACAGAGGAAAAGTGATGCTGTCAGACAACTGAGGGAGAAGATGGGTCTCATTCTAGTTCATCTCCAGATATGTGTTCAGTCATTAATGTATAAGACGTTCTCTCTGTCAGGCCATACTAGATGTGATGGTCAACCTGCAGTTTACCCTGGTGGAAACCCTGTGGAAGACCTTCTGGAGGTTCAGCCAGAGTCAGGCTGGTGATGCCACGTTGGCTGTGTGAGTGCTCAAGATTTATCATTTAGAATTCAGTTTTTGTCCTAAACATAGTAAGAAACATTTTATACAGGACGCAGGTAATTAAAACTGTGTGTGTGTGTGTGTGTGTGTGTGTGTGTGTTGGCAGTCACGACGAGTCAGAGAAACGTCTGCCTAAGTCCTGCCTGGTGCTGCTGTGCAAGTATGACCCAGTGCTGCGCTGGAGCCGCGACTGTGACAACAGCCTGTACCAGGGCCTGGTGGAGATCCTCATCCCTGATGTCCTCAGGCCCATCCCCAGTAAGGCTAATGTAATAAAACACCATACTGTCACAGGCAGTATAGTGCTGAGAGTCACATGCACATTACAAAATATCATAAAATAATATTTTTACCTCAGAAGTGATCCCATAGGAGAACATGGTTTGACATGACGCTTTACTGTTTGATATAAAATTTACTTTACTCTCACTGAACATATGAGAGAACAAAGATCAACCTGACATTTTACACGTACAAGCAGTTCTAGAAGAGTTTTGTTTTTACTGGTTGAAACCTTTGGACTGATGCTCTGTCTCTGTAGAGAATGAGCACACAGTTTTCCTTACTGTGTGCCCACTGCTCCGCTGTGGAAACTTACTGGACTTGTTCTGTTTCAGTTTCAATTGAAGTCAGACATTGAATGCAGTTTCTTTGAACAGTGCGATTAGGGAACACATTGTTCCTTACATACTTCTGAACTGCTGCCACACACCCTTGGTCTTTATCTTCCATGTAAATTTAAATCACATTGAGAATTTGGTGATGCATATATACATTGCTATACATTAGCTATGTTCTTCAGGTGTTTGATAATTCTTTAACCTGGTACAATCTAACAGGATAATAATAATAACTTTATTTATCACCTATTAGAATTATCTTTTCACCCTTATAATATGTTTTACACACACACACACACACACACAGGAGATGTCAGAGCGATGGGTCTGCTGCAGTACAGCGCCCCAAGCAGTTAGGGGTTAGGCAAGGTGGTTGGTGAACTGGTCTACTGCCACCCAATGAAAACTCACTCTGAAGTATTTTTCCTGCCGCCCCCAGGTGCCTTAACTCAAGCCATCCGCAACTTTGCCAAGAGCCTGGAGAGCTGGCTGACCAATGCTATGATGAACATCCCTGAGGAAATGGTCCGCATAAAGGTACACTCCCCTTGTACTAGTTTGCAGTTGGTGATTCAACATGTTTTCTGAGCCATCGAGTGAGTTGTTTCAGGCCTGCAGGATCAGTCATTACAATACCATAACAACACCGTACTGTAGTTGAGATTACAGGCTTAGAAATTGTTAGGTGTAACACTTCTCTGTAACCATTTTCTGTGTGGGAGCTTTCCAGCTCTGCGGTGAAGCTTTTGTGAAACTAAATGTAGCAAATCACTGCAAATAGCTAAGAAAAAAGGTTACAGGTTATTTGTAGAGATATTTGTATGAATAAGTTCCTTTATGTAAAATATACTTTTGTCTTTTCTCGTGCTCCCTCAGGTAACATCAGCCAATGCATTTGCCCAGACACTGCGGCGCTACACCAGTCTGAACCACCTCGCCCAGGCAGCCCGCGCTGTCCTCCAGAACACGGCCCAGATCAACCAGATGCTCTCCGACCTAAACCGCGTCGACTTTGCTAACGTACAGGTCGGTTTAGCCTCTGAGCGCTGTGTGCTGGCAGCATTTGTGTCTCCTCACATTCAGTGTTTGTGATTTTATCTCGCATTGGTTTGGTGCACATGGGACTATTTTTTCTGTAGCTTGTGGTTTGAATGAGGTTCCATGTGTTAGATAGTTTTTCGAGTGATTCTGTCTTCCTGTACAGGAAATGCAAACCAAACTTCTGAGAAACACTTTCTCCTTCCTCTAGTGAGTGTAGAGAATATGATTGAACCTGGTAGTGACTCAGTGTCTTGCTATTTAATTAATTAAAGACTATTTGACAGTGAATGTATATCTTCAAGCAAAGCATAGTCTATTTAAACATTAGTACATCATGTATTTGTTACTCACATATTCCCCTCATCCTGTCCACGTTTTGCAGGAACAGGCCTCATGGGTGTGCCGGTGTGAAGACCGCGTCGTCCAGCGGCTGGAGCAGGACTTCAAGCTGACCCTCCAGCAGCAGAACTCCCTGGAGCAGTGGGCCGCGTGGCTGGACGGCGTGGTCTCCCAGGTCCTGAAGCCGTACCAGCACAGCCCCGCCTTTCCGAAGGCCGCCAAACTCTTCCTGCTCAAGTGGTCCTTTTACAGGTGTGGTGGGAAACGTTTCTGACATTTTTTTATTTCCATTCTACTTTGTTGTCTTGATGCCGTGTGATGTTAGCTACAAGCTTTTGTTTCACAGTGAATGTGCACGTTATAAGCTCTCACAGTCACTAACAGTAGATCACTGGCAGCTGAATTTGCTTTCTATTGATGGAGAAGACATCTCATTTATGTAGAAACGTGTAAGTGGATTCACTGTGAGAAGTGAGGTTTCTCTGTCTCTGTTGAGAAATAAGAAATAAGAACATCATTTTAGTGGAAGCTCTAAGAAACACTTCCTCTTTGTGGTTTGACGAAAAAGTGATATAGTTACTGAATATATGTGTTACACCAATTAACTCCTGCCACATCTGATCTCCAGTTCCATGGTGATAAGAGACCTGACCCTGAGAAGTGCAGCCAGTTTTGGTTCCTTTCACTTGATCCGCCTGCTGTACGATGAGTACATGTACTACCTGATAGAGCACAGAGTGGCCCAGGCTAAAGGAGAGACCCCCATTGCTGTCATGGGAGAGGTACCAACACACACACACACACACACACACAAATAAATGAACTAAATAATGCAAGCCATACTTAGAGTACTAACACATTCCCCTCTTGCCATTAGTTTGCCAGTTTAGGCCGGGGTCTAAGCCAGCTGGATCCTGACAAAGGTGAACACACTGTGTTTCTACGGTGTCTAAGACTAATTACAGTCCGGTTTCAAGCATCGTTTTTAACTAACACATCTACCCTTGTCTATCCCAGAAGAGGAAGAGGAGGAGGACGACGAGAGCGATGACGAAGGACAGGAGCTGTCCCTACCCTCAGACGGAGCCGTGCTGGGAGAGGAGTCTCTGGAGCCGCCCGCCAAGCTGGCCAGAACGGACCAGAGAGTCCTCTTCACGACCGGATCAGCTGACAACTAGTCACAGAGTAACACTACGAGACGTGGGTTGATTATATTGATTGCATACACACCCAGATGTACAAAGAACACTAATTTATACACTCGACACATGTATATAGATCTTGTAAATGTGTGTGCGCGCTCTCGCTGCGTACTGTAACTGTCCCCACTTGTTTACGCATACACAATCAAAACACACACTCAATCAGTACTGCTGCTGCCTGGATGGCACAACCACCTGTTGACGCCACTGGTTTAACACACAATCACTGGCATTGCAACAGGATGTGGCTTCAAAAAACAGACTCTCAATGCAACGGGAAAATTAACTGGCATGTTTTGGGTTTTTTTCGTCGTCGTCTCTCATTGCATTGCGACCCGTAGCCTCGCTGTCTCCGTCGCCGAGAAGCTTCTGCTCACCCTAGATCCTCCTAAAACTGTCACTGCCGTATCAAAGTGGTCTTGAAAATACTGTGACGTGTGTGCGTGTGTAAAGGTAACTACAGGAGGAGGGTGCAAAGTGGACCTTCAACAGTAGATGTTTGCTGAATTTAGTTGCTCCCGATTCATTAAACGCTGTGGGGAAGCTGTGTCATTCAGATGGGAAGAGACATTTGTGAAAGACAGCAGGCGGTTGGGATTTTTTGGGTGGGTTTGTCTTGTTTGTGTGTGTGTGTGTGTGTGTGTGTGTGTGTGTTTTCCGTAAGAGCACTGGGGTCACACCGCTCTGCTGTTGCTTCTGGAGGCTGACTGAACATGCTTTTCCACGATGGTACGTGTATATACGTGTGTGTGTGTGTGTGTGTGTGTGTGTGTGTCTGGTTGTGTGATTGTGAGTCACGCCAAGTGTGGGCTGTTTTCTTCTGTAGATATTTTCTAAGGCATTCAGGTTTTGATTTTGGGAAATGTGTGGAGATTTTCCTGTTTTGATTTTATTCGCCTGTAAAGAAAAACAGTCTTGTGTTCTTGGAGTGCCTGTCGCAGCTGCTACACACACTTGTAAAGATAAAATCTACGGCTGTGGAATTGGGGCTCCCATTAGTTGCTGCAAAAAATCCTCTCTTCTATTGAACACCTGGTTCCACGAGAGAGGTACTGTACGTGTCATATTTTTACCTTCAAAGTGCTCCATTCCTGTCCACCCCAGTACGTTCCTCTGTGGCCTCGTTTTCCTTTGACATATCGTTTTATCTCGCCTTATTTCAGTATATTTTTCCGTGTGTGCCAAACCTGTTTGCTTTTATCCCAGATCCCATTGTTTTTAAACTCTCTCTCTATGTTTTAAGGAGGACTGTGCCTGAGTAAGAACGGTGATATACTTATATTCTACTGTATATTTATCCACTATTTTGAATTTTGTTGTCACTAAGTGAACCTCTTGTGCAGTGTATGGTGCTGTGTTGTCACACATTGTAAGCAATCTTTGTGTGCATTATTGATTTGTGATTGTACGTTCAGTTATCAATCCTATATCATATCTTATGACTTTTCCACAAACAGGCTTAAGGCCCTGCCTCTTTGCACATATTGACTATTGTCTTTAAAACTCCGACAGAGTTACCTGAAATGTTTTTCATCTTCTTCGAAGTCTTAGGTGTTTTCAGTGGTGGGGTGCAGGTGTCAGATTTTGTGCAAACATCTCATACCCACTCGGTGTGGTTCAGAGAATTTGGTGAGAGGTGACAGATCTGATAGCTCTTCCTGCACAGTCCTCCACAGACACTCACCTCCCTCCACTGTGCTTTCATCTCGCTGCGTTTCCGCCCTCCTGCCAATGGCTTTGTTTTGCTTCAAACATCCATATTCTTAAACACTGTTCGTCGAGATTGGTTGTTGTAAACATGTCATTTTTTGGATTTTTAAATACAACGTCTTTAAATAGCTGCAGTGCACGTTTTCGACAGGCATCAGCAGCCTCAAACCAGCACATCGTCCTTTATAGGGAGTCTAATGCTACCACAGCTGAGTACATATCACTCCAGTCTTTTAATGATCTACAGCATATAGAATGGCCATTGTTTACCCAGTAAGAAAAATGTTTAGTCATTTTTATAGTGCATTGTTTCTTATGTACAAAACAAATTGAGAAAAAAGATGTTCAGTGGCAGTGTTTTATGAATTTGGTCTGCTGTAAGTATGACTGTGCCTTTGGAGGTGGTAGAATGCAATTCAGATGTTTTTAATTTTAAAGATATAAATTAAAGAATTTTTAAAATTGCACTTGTGTTCCCTCGTATGTTTATTTCCCCATGAAGTCTAGCAAAAGTTTCCCCTTTGAACAGGAAGTCAAGTCACATGGCAGTCCTTCAGTATTTATATTTTTTGTGGCTAACAGACTGTCTGACGTGCAACCACAATCTTATCTCATCTTAAACTTTAGCTGATACACAGACCGACTTCCTGGGACATACATACACACTTACTGTAGTCGCAGTGACTTATAACTTATCAGTTATTACTTATTTTGTAATATACCATGTATGACACTGGAACAAAAACCGCAGACGTGGTTTCTGACGGTTTGAAAGAAGACTCACAGAATCCACCTATCATATATAATAATATAATTCTTGTCAGTAACATGGTTTTATGGTCACAGTAGACTAATAGTGACATCTAGTGGTGATTTATCTCAGCTTTGCTTTGTTACATCTGCAGACGGGGCCGTTTTATGGACACACTTTACAAGAAACAAGACAACAAAACGTTCAACACACATTTGAAAGTCATTGACGTTTGCACCTTTTTTTAATTCAGAGTATTGCTGCTGGTGGTCATCTATTAACAATATCAACACTGCTGCCAAAAGCAGGCTCACAGCTGCCATTCAGAATACAAGAATCATACCTGATACATCTCTGTAAGTCAAAACCAACATCGTTATATTGCTGAATATATGTACATATACAATATAGCTTGAAGTGGGACACATTGGAAGACTAAATTTAATCATGTTGCACACAAACAATGGCTGTGGGGAAGGCAAAAGATCAACAGGTTCTTGTCGCCAGCCTTAAAAACCAAGGTATATAAAGTAAAAAGCAATCACATGCAACCTTGAGATGAGACAGAATCACAGCATGGCTCAAACGTATACTTTAAAGGTGTGCTTATGTGACACCTTCCCATTGTAGAGGAACCTGCAGCTGTACCAACTATAGGGGGACAGAACCTCTACATGAGAAGTCACTACACTTCAAAGTGACGAGGATTGATATGCAGTTCCCTCGAGGTGAATGCCCACTAGCAGTATGTGTTTGCTTTAAAAAGGCCTGATCATCACTTTTGAATATTACGAGCTAATACGAGATAACTAGGATTGTTCAAACCGGTTTATGTTTCTTTTCAATTTGGGCCTTCGGTCCACAGTAAGCCGGCGTGCCCAAAAACAAAAAGTGAATGGACATTTGGAGAGGCAAAAGAGGTGCTTGAACAGCAGATGGGTGTGTGACAAATACAGCATAAACCAGACATACTGCTCTGTGTAGTACTCCTCACACTGATGGGTATTTATGGCAGGGCTGTTAATAGGAAGCCGCTAGAATCAAGGCCAAAACAAAGATGCATAACCTGGTGTAAGGCGCATAAACCCTGCAACCAATGAGCAAAAAAAAAAAAAACCTTCAACCTTCTAGGACTCCAGGATTAAGTCTAATACCGGTCATAGTCTCTCCAATTAAACCATTTTAACATAAACTTTTGAACCCTTACGTGAATATCTGGGTGCAAGACCAGATCTTCGCCTTCATCTCTCAAAACAACTCAAATTGTTTTCTATCTTGCAGAACACTTTTCACGTCATTACACACAGGTGCCTCACTTCCAAGTGTTTTATCATCCACCTCTAGCGGCTTTCAACAGTTATTAGTCATCCCACATGCACGAGTCAACGCTGTAGAGCTCCTTTTGTACACTGTAAAAACGACTGACTCGTACAAAATACTGTAAGTGAACACATTCGTAAGCAAAAGAAAAGCCAAATGTACGCAAGTTGAAACACCATGCAATCCTCGGCAGAGGGAAATGTGACAACTTAATTGAAAAAAAACAATCAAAAGAGCTTTAAAAAAAGATTTCTCTGACGTATTACCTGTAGCAGATAACAATATGATTATAGTCTTAATAGCTCTGTGCAATTCAGTCACTAGAACACAGGAGTATGAAGCGAAGTGCCTTAAAAATGGAACTTAGAAGTCTTACGAAGGAGTTAAGAAAAAGGAAGATGAGATAGATTTATTGGCAACTCAGTCTTCTCCGCAATGAACCAAGCGCTTCGAGGCTTCGATGTTCATAGCGGCATATATAAATGTATGTAGAGGCTTTGAGAAGCTGCGTACCTGTCATGGCAGGGTTATCAGTCTTCCCCTTCCCTTCAGCAGCAAAGCACTAGAATGTTTGTTCAGTTCACATTTTTATTAAAAAGTGTCCAGGTGGTGTGTTTGGAGGTGAGGAAGCGTTTTTTTTTTTGTTTCCTCTCACAACAAATAAGATTAAAAAAAACAACAAAATCTTAACAAGCTAAATTCTGGCCTCAAATTCGGGGTCGTTTTCTTCATCCCGTCTACCCGATTCTCTCCGGCATCGTAGACCTTCTGCCGTCAACTCTCACTGCGTCTAAAACACAAACGGTTGAGAGGTAGCACGTCCTTTGTGTGAAAACCGCTGAAGGATCGACTTAAATTATGAAATGTATTACTTTCAGGTAGATACCTCCCTGTGTCGTCTGTACCAACCTGTCCTTGTTGGGGAGCGGCTGGCTGGCCAGGGGCCTGTCCCGTCTGTCCATAGTACGCAGCCTGCTGCCTGTAGTACTCGGCCCAGGCTGCGCTGTAGTCCGGCTGGCCCCCCGTTGTGGATGCTGCTCCTCCTGCTGCTCCTGGGGCTGCAGCTGCTGTCCCAGGGACGGAGCCTCCTGCCTGGGCTGGAGGTGACAGACAGAAGAGACATGACCCAGCTCACCACTTCATTCATGATGACTTAAAGACCAGCGACCTTGGGAACCAAACATTTGGTGTGTCCCAGCTCCACGCTACATATTAATCAGGTTTTGAGTAGGTAGTGGGTTGTACTGCCCGTCATTAATTAATTAATTTATATTCTCTCTTTTCTGCACAAAACAAGAGACCAACCCTTTCTTGATAATACTATATATATATGCAAAGATACAGACCACAATACAATAAATTCTGAACCAGTTATCTAATTAATAGATCATAAATCATGTAAAAGCCTAATAATTCTATCATAATTGAACCTTTAACTACGGAAGCCGAGAACGGCCATGGATTTATTTTATTTTTTTATGCACTGTTATCTTGTGATACAGCTTATTAATTCATTATCTCGACATAACAAAGTTTGTTTTCTCGTGATAACTAATTAATTAATAATGTGTTGTATTCATCAAATAATCGCTGCCACGAACGGCTCCGTACGCCGCTGGCTTGTAGCTGTAGGCTAACGGTGGGTAAATTACACTTTTACGTTGGTTTGTTTACTTGACTGAGAAGCCGGTCTGTGGCACTCTTGTAGGTTGAAATCAAGACGAACAATTATTAATTAATTACCAAACTTTGTTATCTCGAGATAACAAATTAATAAGTCGTTATCACGAGATAACAGTGCATAAAAAAAAATAAAAAATCTCGGCTTCCATATTTAAGAATGTTGACAAGTTATATACAAATAATTATATATAATTATTATTAAATTATCTGCATTTTTTTATTATTATTTATATGTTGTTTATAATGTAGGGACAAGTAAAGTAACACTATAGATGGAGTTCTTTGACAGTCTTACCCATCTTCTTGTAGTACTCCTCCCAGGCCTTGGTGTAGTCTGGTTGGCCCCCAGGCGTCTGTGCGGGCTGCGTCTGGTCCCCTGAAGTTTGGGCACCTCCAGCTGGGTTAGCCGGGTACTGGGCTGGCACAGCCCCCGACGGCTGCTGGTAGTACTGAGCGTAGTAGGCCGCCCAGGCTGCGTTGGGGTCATTGGCTGCTGCCTTGCCTAGAAAAGATGCAGGGTGGAGGGGGTGAGGTCCTCATAGGGTGAGGGTGAGCCCCTGCTACTGGCCTGGAGACCGGGCTTGGAGACCAGGGGGGAAACAGAGACAGGGTTAGCCAGAGCAGCTTAAGGTAAAGACAGGTGCATCTCATCACAACATTTCCATCAGTACTCCTGTTGACCTTCCCAGTTTGAGAAAAAAAAAATGTCATTACTCATCTGAACAGACTGGGAGGGTATACAGTAAGCCTGGGGTCACAGTAGGGTTGACGTGTAAAGACAGCCAGCATGCTAAAATGAGCAAAAATAAACACGGATGCTTTGAAAACCAGGAGAGGCAGTGAAGTCAAATGTGACTCACTGGGGTCGTGGGGGGCCTGGGGCTGCCACTGCTGGTAGGTGTTGCTCCAGCCCTGAGGAGTGTACTGGTGAGGACCTGGAGGACCACCACTGAGGAGGAAAGAAATGGTTCATTATTTAAAACCTCTCAGGATCCCCCCCCCCTGGCATGAGGAGCCATTGGTTGTAGCTACTCACTGTGGTGGTCCAGGCGCCCCAGGCGGTCCGGGATTGTATGGGTTTGGGTTGTAGGGGCCCATCGGACCAGCAGGACCTGGTCCACCTGGCCCCGGGCCCACAGGACACAGAGGACCCTGGAGCAGGAGACATAATCACACATTATATGAAAGTACAGAGACCAATTAGTTCTTTGTTGGCTCGATTATTGCAGCTCCAGATCTGGATTTCTAGAAGCTGGTTACCTGGCTCTAGTACAGCTGCACAATGTAGTGGTATCTATTAGCGAATCTCAGCCAGGACACAATAAATTAAACGTAACCTTAAGAAAATCAAGACGTGATCATTTGTGTTTGGGTGAGAACTCTTCTCAGCTTCCACATTTTGGTTTTCCTACACTAAAAACAACAACGGTAAGTACCTCAATCTTCTCTTCAATGAGCTGCTTGGCGTGGTCGATCTGCTGCGGCGAGCCCCGAATGATAAACAGCTTGAAGTTAGGGTCTCCGTTGGGGGGCGGCTGTCGAGAGATTTCCACGAAGGCCCCCGTCTGCTGGTTGATGGACTTGACGTTCTCTCCTCCCCGGCCAATCACAAGCCCGCACTTGTGGGCAGGAATAGAGAAGGTCATTTCCCCTCCAGGGGGCCCCCAACCACCTTGTCCCCCACCTCTGCCCCTGTTGCCTGCAGGCATGCCCGGAGGACCTGGAGGACCCTTTCGACGGAGGAGAGACAGAGCCTCAGTACCACAGCATTACACTTTATATGTGTGTAAATGTTTGTATTGAATGAAAAGTTGATGATTTTAAGATTTAGCTTTTTACGAGATTAGATCGGCTGATTCAAACATCTGCCTCGAGCCTGCTGCCAATATGATTAATATGATCTTTTACTGCGTCTAATAGTTTACGAGTGAACAGAAACATGTTTTAGACTGTGACAGTTCATGCGTGTGTCAGATCCGTACCCCCTGTCCTTCCTCCCTGACCCTGATGCTCTGCAGCAAGTCATTGATGATCTGGGCAGCGTGCTCGCAGCGGTCAGGAGGACCGCTGATGTGGGCAATCTTATCTGGACCAGTCCCGTCATCTGCAACAAACATTTCAATCTGCACTGAGCAATATTTTTGACATTTATTCGCATGTGGAAGGGTCACTTGAGAATCAAGACCTGAATGAACAATTCATGCAAAGTATTACATCAACACATGCGCAATATTAAAAAATGATCACGGCTCCTACCTTGTTTGAACTGTATCCTAACTCCGGCATCATTCTGGATTTTCTTGATCATCTCTCCATTGCGACCAATGACCACTCCGACTGAGTGTCGTGGTACTGGGATCTGAGTGGAAAGCAGACGTTTTTTGTAAACTTGAGATTCGGTTAGATGATCCCTCTTCTAATCTTACTCCCGTACACAAACTCACATCCATGCCTCCCCCCATGCGGGAGCCAAAGTCATTTCTTTCACTAAAGCCGCCATGGTCTCTCTCCCTCAGAATCTCCTGCACCATCTCCTGGGCTTGCTGAAAAGGAAAAACACAGGGTGGTTACTGTACGTGGCAGCTCAGCATCACGTATTTATCTTGAACTTGAGATGTTTTTATACATGTACCTGCACTTTGTAGGGATCTCCGATAATGCGCAGGGGCTTGTCGACGTTGGGTCCCTGAGAGGCATCCTGGATCAGGATCATCTTCACCCCTGCACGCTCCTGGAACACCACACAGTAACATTACGGTATGTGCTGGCGTTACTGGAGTTTAGAAATCTCTATTTGTCTGGCTCACGAAAGTTTATAATTGATATTTAACCTTTTTTTTGTACAGTTCGATTTGAGTTCAACCATCTCACCTTTCTCTGAATACACACCCATCAAGAGGATGCGACTGCAATAGCCATGCAATGTACCTGTAGCTGTTTGATGGTCTCTCCTCCCTTGCCAATAACAAGGCCTGCCTTGCCAGCTGGGATCATCATCTCATGCACCGTGCCGTTCTGCCCGTTGGTGGACTCGTGATAAGAAGAAGGGGGGGTGCCCCTCCCTCGTGACACTATCTCATCCAACAGCATCTTGGCTTTCCTAGCCGGGGAAGAGCTGACCAGTTACTCTACATTCATTGTACAAAAACATGTCATCAAGCTGATATAGGGGCAAGTAACACGGACCGAATATTACATAACGTAATATTTATGGACTTAAGCAGTAGGTTATAATAAAACCTTCAGCCCTTGCCTCTGCCAAATTGTGTGATGTGTGGACACAAGTACGTAAAGCAATCTACTTCATTAGTGACCATTTCCGATGCTTCCATCTAAAAAGACAATGAGCTGATTTGAATAAAGTCTGAAACTTACTGTATAGAGTCAAGGGACCCTGTGAGAGAGACGCTCCTCTCTGGAAGGCCTCCGCTGTCTGGACACACACACACACAGAGTACAAATGTAACTAAGTTCAAAACCACAAGAGGAAGAAATTTGCACACTGTGGATAACTGTAACAGTACCTGGAGCTATCTGAACCTTGCAACCTGACTCCTGTTGAATCTTGTTGATCTGTTCACCTCCACGGCCAATAACTGGGGACAAAGACAGAGAGCAAAACTGTGTGTTGTTGGCAGGTCACACTCGTGGCATCTACTTGTGTCTCATATGGCAGAGAGTTTGGCATCAACATGTGCTAAATCCAAGTTGGGCTGCACTCACTGAGTCCCACCATGCTGTCTGGTACACTGTACTCCTCTGTGGTGGAGGCGGGCCTGACAACATCAGCAAGCGCGGGCGACAAACAGGGAAAAAGAGCACACAATAGTAGACTCTAACTGGAATGCTATAATCTCTGCTATAATCTCATACAAATACAAAGAGCCCACACTTCTACATAATACACAATCAACTAGAAGATATGAGATCTCACCTTTGTTGTGCAAGAGCAGCTAGCTGTGCACCAATAGCTGAGGTGGGACATCCACAGAAAGAAAGAGAGAGTGATAAAAGAGAGCAAGGGAGAGGTTTAGGATTACTGATGGACTATGAGACACAGAAAGAGGAGGGGGGGGAAGTGTTGGACAACTTGCTGAAACAGGAATATTGTACAACTGGAAACTGTATTAAATACTGTTAGCTGTGAGGGATTAACGTCACAAAGCATCAAATCGTGGTAGGAACTCACACAGTGCTTTGGCTGAATCCAAGTCACTCTGTGCAGCCAGCTTCTTGCTCTCAGGTTCATCTGTCAGGTGAGGAAATGACACACATCTGCTGTAACTGGGTGTGTTGGGAGTGTCTGTGAAGAACTTAGTAGCTTCTGCACCTAAAGCCATCATCAAGCGTGCAAAACAGGCGATGTACAACCCGAGCCAGAGTAGATCGAGGAGCCGCGGTCACCATACCTGCATCCTCCAGTTGTCGTTTCTGTGCAGTGAATGGAAACCCATCTGACGCTGTGTTGTTGTTCAGGGGAGGTCCAGCGTCACCCCCAATCTTGGCTGCAATCTGAAAGACAAGCTCAAAGTTCACCATGACATTTGAGTTATGAAAAACAACTTGTGTACAACTCTGCCCTTCAAACGAGCCCACACGTCAACAACCCATCGACACGCTACACACTGGGCCGAGCGTCTCGTAAGGACTGTGAAGTCTTCAGCAAAAATCTACTTGACTTGCTCCTTCGTACAGCACATTACAGTATAACACTGTAAATTAACTATTCAATACATCAAGTTAACATTATGGTCCAATCTTCAGTCTATATTCTCTATTATTCTATTTTATTCAGCGTATCTCGTCAATCTCATGATGTTTTTGTGAGGTGACTGATGTAACGCTGTCTGTGCGTTATGGCCTGTAAGAAGGTTACATCTGTTAAATAATATGACGCTGATTTATATATTAATATTTGAAATATTTAGGATACTTTAATGTGTAAATGTTTAACGTAATTTGAAGACTGGATGCAAGACTTGTTTAGGAAACACTGTACTTTGTTTAGAACCATAACAATCCTCATCAAAGCAATAAAACACTTATTTGGATTAATGAAAGGATGATTGATGGCTGTCTGTGGCTCCAGTTACACCATTATACCCACAACAAATGGTCCTTCCGAGGCTTTCACCCCACTGGTGCTCACAGCAGCAGTTACACAGTCTTTAAGTTATTAACACACACTGATAATCTCGCTTTATAAGTTAGTTTTTATGTCTTTGCTCCGCCGTTATAACGCCCCGTTCACACTGTGTGTTTGTGGAGCGGAAAACAGATATCGTGTTTTAACGTTAGCTAGCAACTGACATGACGTAACTAGCTCAACAGAACCGTTAAGAACCGTTAAGAACCGGTAACAACCGTTAACAACCGTCACCTCGGAAATAACGGCGTTAGCTGTCAGACGGTGTCACCAGTAACACTGTTAGCACTCAGGCTCACTTTCAGCTACCCCCCTCCCTCCGAACACACATCCCCTCACCTGCCGGGCCCGCTGCACCGCGTCCGCGAACGCATCTTTTTTGATGCCTCCTGCTCCGTTCCCGAGAGCCGCCTGTCCGCCGAGAGAGGCCCCGGGCCCGGGCGGCGGCACCGCGTTGTACTCCGACATGTGAGCATGGTGTGAGCCAGAAGACGGGGGGGGGGGAGGGGGGGCAGCGATCCGGGACCAGAGCTACGTAGGAGTGGGAAGGAAAGTCAAGAAACTGACGGTGGAAGGAAAAGCGCCGGAGACACTACGGGAGCCGGGGAGGTTCATTCGCGTTCTTTTTACAAGCTATATGTAATCATAGTTGTTTTTACGGTAACAGAGACAAGTTACAGTTTTGATATACTAGATACACAGAATAAGCACAAATAAGACATAAACTACTATGTACAGTCATACACACATATATATAATATATACAAACAAAAACAATAACATTGGTAGATAGTAAACAATAGTGCAGAGTGCAAAGGATGCTGAAATAAATATTTACCTGCATGTTTCTTTATATAACTGCATAAGGTATGTGGATATGACAGTATGTACAGTATGCACAGCATGGGTAGACGTGTTTGAATGATTTTATTTATGTTTTAAAAAATAATAAAACAATGAAAAAAACTAAACAAAACAAAAACACTATACCACTATTAATTTAATTTGTAAAACCTTTATTATATTTATGAAAACCAACAAATGACACTGCGTTTTCTCCATTCACCACAGATTAGATTCATCAAAGTTATATACAGCACTGTTTTGTGGCTAAAAATTCATTGCAGAATTACAGGTATCTCCATCTTGGCGCTCTACAGTGGCCTACAGTAAGTGACTCTCTCCAACTTTGTTCTGAGAGATCATCTTCGTAACTCCATAACTGGTGGAATAACACAGAACATAAGGTATCTCTTGATACGTATTCGATATTTATTGAAGATGACATGTTATGTCATAGTATAAGCCTGCAGCAACAGCATAGCCACTATTATTTTTCACATCCTCTACGTTTAAATGATTCTATACAGATATTACAGGAAAGGATAATGAGGTTAATATAACAGCATGACTATGTATTTTCATATCTTGTTTGACACTGTTTCACAGTATTTTCAGTATGCTTTTCAGGCCAGTGATGTAAAAACATAAACAAACACTTCTCAGTGAGAAGTGACCCAGCACTGCTACTACTGTTTCCACTCCGTTTTATGACATGCTACAGTAAATAGACTAAACATTCAGTGATTAAATGTAGATCTAGGCTTACACCAGTTTCTAATATAAACATAAAACGTCTTTATGCTGGTTAATATCAGTAAATGGGCTGTTCAGCCATCAGAACCCAGTATCATTGGATATACTGTAGATCCATATTAGCATTCAGCTGTGTTTGGATTGGAAAGCAGAGATTTCCTGGAGTATATTTTATCATTGTATGTACTTTGTTTCCAACCTGCTTGTGTGTAACATCTGTTTTGCTTATAAAGAGTTCCTGCGTTGGGTCTCTGTGGAGGCCTTGGCACAGAGAACAGTATCTAACTTCACTGTTCTTTTCTCACGTAAAAACCAACTTGTTGTTTGATGACTGTCATCTGTCAGAGGGCTTCCGTCCCACTTCTCCACATGACTGGCCGAGGTGCTCGTGCTGCCAAGCCCGGAGGTTACATCAGAGTTTCCAAATTTAAGGCACAGCCATTCGGACACCTTGGCGCGTGCTCTTTGATAACAAAATGTTCCAACTTCTGAGGGAACATCTCCGCCCACTGAAAACAGAAGTTGAATTGTGTAAGTCATAACAGCAATGACCACTGGTAACTGTATTAATTAAGTTACTCTCACTTAATGGGGTTATATTAAACTCACTGCTTGGAATGAAGGCTCCATCTAAGCTAGCGGCCATCTTCACAGGTGGCACGGTTGGTTCCTCGGGTTCTTGTGCTACAGCTTTCAACATCCGGTCTATTAGCTCCTGCTGCCTACTGTTCCACTGCTCCTCTGTCAGCACTCGCTGCACCACTTTCTGCTTGTTTTCTTCAGTGGTGAAGCAGAGGCCATTGTTTCGTGTTATCATGTCAACAACTTTCTGGAACATCTCTATGACGGGATAACTGTCATAAAAACGATTGCACGTGAGAACGTGGTATCTGTTTCCACATTTTTCCACGAGCCATTTCAGGTCTTGGCCTTCCGTGGCGATGTACTCCTCGATGGAGCTGTTATTGAGCCAGTCTTTCCAGGTGAACAGCACCATGCAGTGTCTCCAGACGCTCTCACCAAATGGCCTCAAGAGGTCAACCACTGCTTTGAGGTCTTTATCTGTAAAGGCTTTAGAAATGGGAACAACCAAGAGAAAAACATGGGGCCCCGGAGCACACATGGACACACTGCGGAGAACTTCACGTCTGAGCCAGTCGGGTGTCATCGTCTCGGTCAACCAGCCTGGTGCCTCAACGGCTGAGATATTTACTCCAGCAACATTACTTTGATGTTTTACACAGGTCGAGGTTAATCTCTGACCTTGGAATTCCTACACAGACGTAAACAAACAAAATCCAAACAGTTATAGCAATCACACTAGGTTGAATATTTCAGTTTAGGCAGCATATTGTGTTACCTTCTTCATCCAAGCTTTTTCAAATAGCTCTTTAAAGAGGATCCTGTTTCCAAGCATACTCTTCCCCGACCCTTTTCTCCCCAGAAGTACGACCCTCATGTCATTGCTTTTATGCCTCTCCCCTGGAAAGAAGTTTTTCATCATATAAAAGGTAAATTACCAAATGTATCATAAACAATATGAGAATGTATTATTTGATTACCTCTGAACAACTCTCTTAATATTCTTTCTTGTCTTTGAGTCGTCTGTCTGATCCTTTTAGCCATCTTGCATGTGACCTCTTTCCTTGCTTCCAACTGCTGTGCACGGCCCAGGTCAACTTCATAATAAGGATCTTTGTTTCCTGCCCACATCTCTTCAATCTTCTCAAGGAGCTCCGTTACCTGCGTCTCATCGCCGTGGTTTGTGTTGTCCAGGACATGATACATGTTCCCACACTTGTCCATGAGCCACTGCAGACCTTCCTCACTCTCTATGCGCTCTTCCACAGTCTTCACTCCCAGCCAGTCACCTCTGGTGAACAGAACGATCGTGTGCTTCCAGACTTCATCCTTGAACAAACTCATGTGCTCCTGGACTGCTCTCTGGTACGATGCGTTGAATGCGGATGCCAGGCCGACCACCAGGAGCACTGCGTGGGGTCCCGGAGGGCACTGATGCATGCTGTTCTCTATTTCAAGTTTATCCATCGCACAGGTGTCCTGGAGGGTTTGATTGTAGAACCAGCCAGGGGAATCTACCACTGTGAGCTGCCTGTCTGCCACCACGCTGTGGCTTATTTCACAGTACTCTGTTGTTCTTCTGTGATGAACAGGAAACGCTTTTTTTTTCAGGATGGTGTTGCCTGCCGAGCTCTTGGCCGACCATTGTGCCCCAACCATCACTATTCTTAAATGTGTTGGGGGTGTTTTGCCACCTACACAGAAAAAGGAACCAAAAATATAGTTTAGTGTATCATGATGGTATTTTAAAGTATCTCCCCAAACAAATCAACTGAAAATGAGAGGTGACCGTCTAATCAAAATGTCAGAGCATAGAATAAATAAGGTGTTTATGTGCGGTAAATCACATAGTTCTCACAAAGAACTTCCCTTACCAATTTATGAGGAGGTTAATATGCTGCTGTATCTCTACAGGAATAACTAAGGTGGATTATTTTGTTGGTATTTGTTCTAATTTCTCCAGCAGTAAAAGTATAATAAGTGTTTTTTGTTGTAGAAAATGAAGGTCTGAAGATAAGAAAGCAGTCTATGTTGGTTCTAGAGCTAATTAACATTTACAGAGGCGGATATCAAGCTATTGGTTGATAACAAGAAACAATACATTTCAGCACAGAAATGTCGGGTTTTAGGTTTCCACTATTTCATAATTTGTCCCGAGAGCACCAAGTGTAAATTGTTTAGTGCGATATTATGTTTACTGTTCACAATTATTAAAAAAAACATCAACACCAAGACTGTGGTTTATGTTATGTGTTCATATTTTAAAAAGAATAAAAATCCAGGCAAAAATATAAATTAATGGTATCTTAAAGCAAATATGCTTAGTTGTATGCATGACACAATTATAAAAACTGAGCATTCATTCAAACAAAAGCTGCTGTACAAATGACCAAGGGCTGAGCATTGTGATTAAAGTGTTTATAAAGTAATGTGTGACTCACCTTCAATCAGTGCTTTGAGTTTCTTTCTCTTTGTCTGCACTTCAGCAACCCTCTTTGATGCCCTTTCAACCAGTGCTTCCATCTTCTCTCTCAGAGCATTCCCATCAGCACTATCAACAGAATAGTGACTTCCAGCATTTTTTGCAACCATTTCATCTATTTTGTTGAAAAGCGTTATGACTTGAGTGCTATCCTGACGGTTTCTGACATTGAGAACATGTCTGCGGTTTCCACATTGTTTAAGAACCCACTGCAAGTCTGACCACAAACTGATTTCATCTTCCAATTGTTCACGACTATATGGACCATCTACCGCAAACAGCACAATGGTGTGAGGAAACACTGCGTCATGGAAGAGTTTCAAGTGCTCCTTTAATGATACTTTGTAGATCTGAGGAAACGCAAAACCAATAGGAATGACTAGTAGAAAGGCTTGAGGCCCTGGGGGACACAGATGGACACTGTTCCTGATCTCCATCTGATCCAGCTCTGGGGTGTTTCCCAGTGGGTAGTGCCACCACCAGCCTGGAGTATCAACCACAGCGACTTGTCTGCCATGGACCTCCTTCTGCTTCACAACACTCTGGGCAGTTCTTCTGTTGGTGTCAAAAACACTTTCACCCAGTATGATGTTGCCAGTTGCACTCTTATTACTGGAATTGCCATTTATTTCTCTCGCACCTATTAACACAATCCTCAGCCCTGGAGAGTGATGACTTTGTCCTGTAAGAGAGATACAATATTCTTTACATAAATATAAATATATAAAACAACAAAAGTGTCCTTTCTGCAGAATCCACTGATTAATTGATCTTCATATCTGAATGGCAGGAGTGGCTCAGTAATGTAAT